AATTGCTTTTGACGATCAAGTCAACGTAATCACTATTTATTTGCCACTTAAAGTAAAAAAAGAAATGATCACTGACCAGCCGCCAACATGCATCTACTCTATCAGAATTTAAATCTCAACTAAAGAGTTTGTTTGCATTAACAACTCAAACTTCACTTGTCTTTGGACCAAACAAATTTACATTCTCAACAATGCAATAACACTGGATGTGTCTCAAAACTTAATGAGCTCTCTACAGACAGCATTTTACATCATAATGTGTGCTCCTGACAAGAAGACTGTCTCAATTCTTAGATACCTCAAATATGCTTCCTACTGAGGTATCTTATTTTTACTGAAAATCGAGAGAGCATTACTGAGCATGTTTTCTAGCAGCATGTCAACAAAACTGCATGCTCTCAATAGTGTTAAAGTCAAGGTGAAACATAACACATTTTCTTCCTTACCATGACATATTTCTGAGTCAAATATGGTTAGAGGGTCACGGAGATGGACAGCATTGAGGGTGGTGGGAAGGGGGTAGGAAACATGACATTACTGGTAAATACTATTTTTCCTGCCCATTCATACACTGCAATGGACCCAAAAATCAGATGTTTTGAGGCTTGCAAAAGTCAGTACACTTTGATTATCACAGAAAATCAACAACTTTGACTTTTAAATTATGTGAACTGATGAATCGTGCAGAGACATGAACTAACAAGGTACAAAAGGGTCAATTTTCATGTTGGCTTTAATGCAGAAAGATAGCTGGCTAAGAGTTCAAATATACCTGCTTTGAAACCTCTGGCACAAAACAAAGTCTTAACATGTCATTGCTAATGTATCACTTAATTTATAAAATACCGATCTGAAAGACATCTGTAAAAAACATCTTACTTTTATTCAGCACTCAAGATGCATGTAGATTAATCACAATTAATAATATTTTTTTAAATCCAAGGTTGTGATTCCTGGTCTTGTTCTGGACTGTGCTACGAAGTCGGAAACTGATTTTAAGTTCATCTGCCAGCTGAAGTGCTCTACACACACAAAAAAGATGGTTCTTCAGCGGTTCTTTAGTAAAGGCAATGGTTCTATTTAGAACCATGAGCTCTGTAAAGAACAATTTGGATGTCAAATGGTTCCTTTATGGTGAAATGGTTCTTCAGATTGATGGAAAATGTGATGTATATGGTTCTAAACAGAACCTTTTTGAAAATGGTTCTATATGGCACCAAAAAGGGTTCTGCTGTTGTTACGATTATAAGCTTGTAACAATAGAAAAACATTTTTGGTGCTATAAAGAACCATTTTCAAAAAGGTGCTATATAGAACCCACATACAACACATTCTTAACCAATATAAAGAACAACTCTACCATGCAAAGAACCACTTTAGCATGAAATGGTTCTATATAGAACTCATGGTTCTAAATAGAACCGATGTTTTTACTAAAGAACCTGTGAAGAAACATCTTTTTCAAGCATGTAGGTCAGTGGTCACCAACCCTGCTCCTGGAGGTCTTGGCCTTGATTAGCTGAAGGAAGTGTGTTAGATTTGGGTTGAAAGTGAAATCTGCTGGAAGGTAGATCTCCAGGAGGAGTGTTGGTGTGGAGTGCTCCGAATGTTCAAGAGCAGCAAAGAGTGGCTTGGTCAGCGAGGTCAGGGTCGCATTCACAGGCATTATTTATGCTGGTGATGACTGTGACTAACGTTAGTAGGTCAGTGCATCATATCAGGCTGCATTTAAATGGATTTCCTCAGCAGAGTTTACAAGCTTTAACCTAATTACGGTTAATGGTGGTTCATTCGGTATGAGTTTTTGGTTCTGAATCCTTCTGCAGCCCACGCGCGCAATCACTCATTTCAAATTCAAAATTCAACGGAAACCTTGCAGATCAGCGCGAGACCCAGGGAACGGTTAACGTTAGCGGCTGAACTGCTACAGCGGAGGATGATTTTTCCAGTTGATATTCTCAATTACAGCCCTAAAAATATATTACTAGACTTCTAATGATGGCGCTTTATAAGTTTGATAAATTAACGCGGGGCGATAAACAACTTTAGCTTATGTTAATTTATAGCGACCTAGCAGCGTTAGCTAGCTAATGTACCGTCTGCTCGTTCCATTTGATTTTAGTGAATTTAGCCAGCCAGGCTCCACAAGTCGCTACTTGACCTCCATAAAAAGGTAAGTTAAACTGGTAATAGTTCTTATTTCGCTTGGGTGTTTCGGACAGAGCAGTAGCAAGCAAATCACTGATCATTTAAGTAACGTGATATGTTAACGTTAACTGTTAAGCTATATTCGCCAAGTAATATTGAGCTAACTTAGCTAGCTAGTTAGCTAGGGTTGCGTTCAGCCCCGACAAAACGTAGCAAAATGTTTATTTAAACGGAAATGGTGGTGAGTTGAACTCTTGTGTTACGCAAGCGTTGCAACTATGCCAGCTGAAAAGGTCCTTCTAGCTTGTTCTATTAAAAAAATAAACTTTGAAATAAAATATACAACAAATATGTCTTCTAGTGTATTCAACCGTTGCGTATATCAATCTGCAGCGGCCGCACCTCTTGATACATCCATCAAACGAGAGAACATGTACCGGTGTGTCGAAATGATTGTAAGGTTAGATTTCTGACGTAAAGCTGCAATTCAGTAGCCCAGGTTACCGAAGGACAAGCTCTGCTTCTTTTTTAGTGTAAACATACAGAACGGCTTTGTCTGTTGGGGCCTGCAATTGTTAACGCAGGGTGTCAACTTCTTAAAAAAAGAGGACGAATTTTAAAAATGTAGCTCCATAACAGGACTGTCGTGTGCGTGTCTCACTGATAACCCAGGTAGCAGGATGACACTGATCCATTACTGATATTTTTTATTAAAATCATGCTTTGGTCGAGGTTGGAATTCCAATGTCAACATTGCGTTGGATCAACGTTAAGCTATCAACGAAACCGCCAGCTCGTAACGTTGGCCACAATGACGCTGACCATTAGACGCGAGATCATGTGACAGAGAACATAGAGAACTCTCGCATGCGCAACGCCTCAGGTCCTCCTCACAGCTTACTGATGTCTATGTGAAAGGTAAGAAAGTATTTTAATTCCTAGCACTTTAAACTGTCTTAAAATTGAAATTTAACTGTCTGCTTTTGAAATTATAGACGATGAAATATTCTTACGTATGCTTCTTGGACAACTGGTTAAACACACAACTTGATTTCCTGCTTTCATTTTTCAGAGCACCCAAGGAAAAAGATCTCGTGAAGCAAGTCAGTTGCATGGTGTTCATGAATTACTGACAGTTAGACTGTGTGATTATTTTTGCACTATTAAAAACTAATTATTAAAGCATTTTTGTTATCTTGTTATTCAGTAAATGTCAATAAAAAACTGGTGTAAAGTTTTTTTGTTTTTTCTTTAAGAAAATTACCCTTGCTGTAGATAAAGAAGGATGGCAGGATGACAATGTTTTACTGTAGTAACTTGATTTTCTAAGGGTTAAAAAAATTAGGTAGCATGTGTTACACTGACTTTTTATTAACATTTCAGTGGTATTGCCATATTAATTCAGGAAAAGTGAGTAAGAATCAACAACAGATTAGAATGTAGGTTCAAAGAAGTTAGCGCTGATGTTTCAACATTGATTTAACATGCATTCAATGACTTTCACATCTTCCTTGTCTCCAGCACTTTAACGCACAGTAACATGGCTGTATTTCATATTTTTCACACATGGAAAAAACTGGAGATCTTCAAAATACCACTGTGGATTTAGGTGCAATCATCATGAATCCTTATGTCATAAATTATATGAGACTAAAGCACTGTGTGCTCTCAATGTGTAAAACCTGAGCTAGGGCACCGTGAACACCTTATAAATCCTGCAGCAGTGATCCTTACAATAAACTCTGCTTTACACCCTTAAGATCATGTTCTCCGTTTTGCTTGTTTATTTGTTTTAATAAACTTAATCGTTGTATTAAGTTGTATATTAGTGGCTTCACAGTGGTCACATGATTGGCAGCATGGTCTTATTAACAGCAAGCAAATTAAATAATTCTCGTTTTAAAGAAGAGTTGGCCCAGCTTCACCTAATGGACCACCAGTGGGCCGCGAAGCACCCTCTGGTGGTCCTCTGGCCCGTAATGGGGGCAGCCAGTGGTCCTTAGAAAGCCAGTGATGGCACTCTATATTATAAAAATAAGTAAAGAAACAATTGACTTAATAATAATAGAAATAACATTTATTTGTCATATTTAACTTAATTTGCCACCATTCTGCTTGATTTCAGGTAAAAAAACAAGCTTATGTTCGCCTAATCTGTCAGCATATATCATCTATCACGTCATACATACATCACATATTGTGGTGCCCAAACACTGCTGTGTTGAAAATTTCTTAATTACTTTTTAGAGCAAAAAAGGCTTTTTATGGTGCTTCATGCTTTCAAATGATAAATAGGTGGACCTTGAGGTGGAAAAGGCTGAGAACCCCCGCCTTAGAGAACAATTAACCAGATTGGACCATGACGTCATATATAAACATCCAGGCCATTACTCTCCATTAGTAGAGCAAAAGACACGAAAAAACAATACAAAAACTTCGCCATAAGAACGCGTACTCTACCCAAAATGAAGTTTCTTCGGAAGGCACTTCGTCACTGCATTTCTATGACCACCACCGACTCTTCTCAGAAAAAGGTACAGAAAGTATCATTTTAGGCTCCCATGCATTTCACGTCCGTAAGAGCAGCTCAGTCCAGTGTGTCGGTATGAATGTGCTGTTTGTTCAGCAGCCAACAAAACCTCGCGTTTTCCTTGATGGAGAGACAACCGCTGGCTTTGCTAAGCTTATGGCTTCATTCTGGACCCGTGGTTAAGTGAAGGGAGCAGGCTGACGTTTTCTACGTAAAGGCTGACCGAATCTTATTAGAACGTCTCAATCGAACACTTCGCTGGGTTTCGCGCTATGTAATGTATTCATGAGAGGGAGAAAGAGAAGCGGACTTTTCTACTTACTTTTACCGAGAACGGGCTGTTTGCCAGAGTTGGAGACGCCTCAGTGTGTGAAACTTTTTGACTGCTCTCACCTGGCCCAGGTAAAGCAGCTCGCGCTTCATTTACTTCCGACACTTCCAATACACCTGCCAGACCTGTTGCTGTTAACTTTTGTCTTAAAGGACCCAAGTCACGTTAAGCTACTGAAAAGGACGTATCTCACCAGACGTAGACAACAAATTGCATAAAATGTCATGGAAGAATGTTTTAATATTTTGAAACCGAGTTTGGACTACATCGTCAAACTTTTAGCATTTTGGATCAGGCGATGTTTGGACAGATAAGGGAAAATGACGTCAGGTAAAACAATCAGGACCCCTGGAGCGAAACTGCAGGACTATTGTAGGTTAGATATTTGCAACGCCAGAGCAGTGTTGAACACTTACAGGCTTATTCTGGAAGTACTTCTGTGTTTCTGTATGTAACCTTTTGCCAGAGAATTCTTGCTTATTATGCAAAGATGTTCTGTTCAGTTTTTATAGTTTTGACAAAGTTGCAAAGAGTGTATATTAATAACCAACCTTCCTGCTCTCTGAAGTTTTTCCCATGCATTTTTCCCCATTTTTGGGATTGATATGAAAAATTCGCACTCTCTTGCTACACTCTTAAAAAAATATGATTCTTAAAGGGTTCTTTAGTAAAAGCAATGGTTCTATTTAGGACCATGACTTCTATATAGAATCATTTCATGTCTAAGTGGTTCTTTGCATGGTGAAGTGGTCCTTCAGATTTATGGAAATGGTTCTATATAGCACCAAAAAGAGTTTTTCTACTGTTACAAGCTTGGCATCATGACAGTTGCATAACCCTTTATAATTTTTTAAATAAATAATTGAACATTCCATATTGTCACTACCAATACAATAATAACACCTCAGAAACATCACCAAATGCTTTAGTAGTGACTGTTAGCATAACTCCAAAATACTAGCCAGTACATGACTAGCAAACATGTTTAACAAATATAGTCACGTGACATAACTATGCACACACATATAAAATGATAATATTTTTAGTAAAACACAAAAAGTTTAATAAATAAACACAGAATATATGTTTCGGTAGTGACGGTTCATAATGATTTTCAGGCTTTAAGACACATTTACTTTAAAATAATGTGATCTAACAGCTCACTATATGGCCTTGAGGGACAGGGTTGCAGTCTTACTTCCTGCTCTAAAATGCAGGGGTGAATATGAATTAAGAATTAGTGAGAAATTTCTCAATATGACATAAGTTTCCATGTCCAACAGTCCTCTAATGTTATGTACTTGTTTGAACCTATGAAAAGGGCAGTAAACTCACTTTACCTTACAAAAAAAATCCTCTCACTCTCTTGTATAAATAATCAGGATAATCAGCACATTGTTTGGTGAATTGAAAGGACTTTGTGTTTGAACATCATGACCTAAATAAGACATTCCTCAAATAAGAAAATGTTCTGGCGTTCTTCCCTTTTTACAGCATGACAGTTTTTCTCCTCTGAGTTTGTCAATACACATCATGTGCTTCACATTGTCAGTGGATCATGATGGTTATTGCTCAGTCTAATTAAGTCTTCTTCGGTTACAACTCACAGTGTTCACTTGTGATATTTCATCATTTTTATTGAGCCAATATAAGTGTCTAGTTCCTTTCACTTGAGGTTAAGGTAGTGTGGTCAACCCAGAAGCTTGGGAAATGGCTTCTTTTTTTAACAGCAGTTGGTGCAGTGTGTCGACAGGAATCCTCTCAGTGTTTTGGCATCTCTGGAAAAACCTGTCTCCTGCCCGCCATCCTGTCAAATGCACTTAGCTCCAATACCTCTGTAGTAACATTATAGTCCAACAGAATTTAAAATTATGTAAGTATACTGGCACATAAGTATGTCTGCATGTGTCTGTGCACATGTGCACACAAGTGTGCGTGTGTAAATGGCTTTAATATATGTATGTATCTCCTTTAGTGAGTTACTTTGAGGTCTTAATGGGTTTGAATCAGTTTGTGTATATTATCATGAAATGTATTTTTGGTACTGCCAACCTATAGGTAATTAACTGTGATGTTTAGATTTTAGAAGTACAGTTGCATCCCAGAAGCCCAACCAATATATTGAATCAACAGTAGATTACAAAAGAACCCCCAAACATATAATTTTGTCTCTAAGCATTAATACCGAAGTATAAATGTATTTGTCAATGTGAAGATCATTACTAATTTGAGTTACTTTCTCAAAGAACATTTTCCTTTTGGATTAGATATACTCCACTTCACTTTATTTTTTTATTAGTTCATGACCTCTTTGCCTGGCTTATATGGTCCATTCTATCGAATTAGTTTAAACTGCAGTCCCACATTAAAAACTACTGTATTCAGACCTTAGATGTTTACAAGGATTATGATATGATCTTTAACCACATGCTTTAATTAAGATAGAATAAGTTAAGTATATGCAAAATAACCACTTTCTAATGGGAGGTGGCTGTCCAAAACCCTAACTCCTAGATTTTTTAATTTGTAAAATTAATACTCAAGGTAGTAGGATAAAAGATAGTAATAAATTTATCATAACTTTGTTTTTTAAATAAATTTTTTTAGTGTCCCACGTTTTTTGTGTGACTTCCAAAACACAAAGAGGTTTAGTCTATAGGCAGATCCCAGGGTCTGAAAATCAGTGTGATATTTTCTGCAATTAAGTAAAAAACTGTTCAGTTTAACCTCAGGTTGTTTTAGCTGTAAAAAACATAAGAAATATCAACATTTTACATGCATTTGTTTTGGTTGTTTTGGATGATATTGAGGTTACTGTGACATGCAATTTCATAATCTTCAAAAACTTCCAACTGTTTTAGGGCCCTGACCTAACCTAACTGTAACTGTAGTAGTGTGAGAACCACTGATAGTTCACACCGCATGGGGGGAGGGGAAACAGTATATAAGAATAAAAGTACATTTGAGGATAACAGGAGATTTAAGAGTGTCACCAGCAAAACATGAGAAACCATAAATTGCTAGTATTTTGTAGAAACATGCCTTGGTGTGTTCCACTATTAGCTATTTTTACACAGATTATCCATCGTTTACAATATTTTACTAGATTTATCCAAGACTGACACATGCCCATTATTTTTCTGAACTTCGCCACTCTTTGTTGTGACCTGTGCCATCTCTCATGTGCTTGAAAAAAACTTGGCCAAACTGGCTTGTCATGTGTACTGTGGCAATCAGCTAAAAATGAAGTTGTCCTGGCAGAGCGCACGCACACGCGCACAGGAACGCACACACGCAAATGTGAATCATTGCTTATGAATGACTGAAAAGAGCTGCACATTTGTCAAGTTTTTAGTTCCTCCAGTGTGCTCCTTATGCCTTGGCTCCTAGAATGCAGTAGCAGCTCTCCCTGCCCTGGCGAGGAAGCCAAAATAAAGACGCACTCGCTGCTCCTGTCTGGGTTTTATACAGCCACCCCCTCAGATGTCAGTCATCCACACCCAGCTATGCAAGAAATGTAACAAGTGTCTCTTTCTGCTTGCCTGCTAGGGTGCGTTTGAGGCCTGGAAAACGCACCTGCATGCAACATAAACAAACCATGTGGGAAAAAGTGCAACTTGTTTGATGGTGCAATAGACCTCATGGTGGTCATGTAAGTCATTGTTTTCCCAAATGCTAACTTTTCTAGTGCTGTTTATTTAACAAGGGCCTGTTATCTTAAGCCGCAACTGTTGCCCACTAAGATGTGGTTGCTGTATATGATTGCTTATCAGTTGAAAAATTGTTTCAACTATTTTTAGCTCACTTGTAAATATTTGACATTACTTTTCGTTCTCAATCACCATGAATATCAAAGAGATTCAAGTACTGCTTTTAGCTGCTTTTTTAAAAAATCAGCATAATTCATTGAAAGTGATTTAATGTGAAAGTACCATCACTGTTGACTAGTAGACTTTAGTTAAACATGCAAACTTATTGCCTCAAAAAAATAAGTAAAGTTACTTAACAGGTTCAAGCTTAAAAAACTTTATATTTGAGTTATAGTTACTTTATTATTTTCAGTGATCCACACTTCTGCAGCAAGTAAGGTTAATTCAAACAGCCCAATAATTAGAAATGGTTTCAACTGAGCTGGCAATACTATACTTTTTCAAGTTCTGCTTAATCTTGAATTAATAGTTTTGGATAATAAATAAAACAGCTATATTTGCATTGCAGACTTTGTGACCTCTGGTGATCCCATCACCACAACTGTAGAGTCAGTTTTTCTATAATACATTAACCTGAATGCTTGATACTTGGGAAGGCTTTGGATACATGTCATAGATAAAACTGTGGAATTCCCCTTAAATATGACATGCAAATTTCTGTCAGTTTATAATCGTATATAACTCAGAATGTGATAGTAAAATCTGCAATACCCTCTAGGGATCACAATAAAACACAATGTCCGAGAAAAAAGAAAAAACTTGATCAAACTTTATTTTATCCTATACTGAAATTGTTTGCACAACGTTCAGATCTTTAGGTATTGATCAGTCTTTCCCAATGATGAGAAGGATATTTGTCCCACTGCTAGGTATAGAACCTCTTTAACTCAGTTACCGACATGAGTTTTGGGGCATGAATTGCTATGGCATCTTAAAGGGTTTTGTCTGGGCTTAGTCTTTTTCAGTATTAAATAAATGCTGTTTTAAGCTGGTAATTTGTGTAAAATTAACAAGATTTTATGAAAGTACATTTCTATTTATTTTGTTCTAAAGATCCAAATTCAGTGAAAGCTAAATTAATACCCTGCATTTTTTGTTGAGTCAGTAAGTGCTGACTCTTTTCTATTTGATTGAATAGGAATGTTCAATCAAATGAACGAATGAGCAAAGCAATCTTCAAAGAAGAGGCAAGCAGTCAACTCAGGAACTCAGTCAAACATACTCTAACTTTCTTTGACTCATTACAGCTAAATTATATGTCATAACGCACTCACTAAGCATGAGGGCAGATTCTTTTGCCCTCTTAACAGATTATTGTCTTTGATCAATTTTTGAACCTTGCTAAGGAAGGAAATTGACTGGGAGACAGATTTCATATACTAAATGCTGCTAATGGAATGTCTGACTTAAATTTTTTGGTATTTAACCTAACAAAACTACATAGTACCTTATTCATTTTTAATGTTAAGTGTTGTAAAGGTCATTGTAACATGATCTTCATACATTTAGCCCTCTGATGCAGAGGTTTTTCAAGGTTCTTCTTAGGTTCTTTAGCAATGCAAAATGATGCAAAATATCATTTTGGTCAAATTTTTCTTGATGCCGTTACAGAAGGTTCTTTTTGTGTTTGTTTGAAGTGTAACTGCTTTATATTTTACCAGAGTAGCACTTATAACCTTTATGGTGCACCCAGCGTAGAAGGCTGAAGAGTTTTCAGTGGTTAATCGTAAAGAGTCGTTACTTTGAACATTCTCACATCATGTGCTCCCCAAAGGTCTAGTCCAGTAATCAGCTTATGGAGTTCTTTGAATGCTTCATGTCACTTTGAGAAGAATTAATGTTTTCCAGAGGATTGTTAACCAGTGTGAGAAAATGCAGCACCCATGCAACAGACTTTGAGCTGAGAATGACATTTCTGTGCTTAATAGTGTTGCTGTTTATGCAGATAAAGGCCAATGAAAACGTTAAATGTTAAACATTAACCCATTAACATTTTGGATGTAATTAGAAATTGGTATTATGTTTGTCCACAGCATAATGGTGCTCAGTCACTAACGTCATTGTGTTTGAGTGTAGTAAGACCTGACAGCTATGGCTTACCAAATTTAGATCACTTTGAACTGGTTTCTAATTTTATCTGTAAATTGTGTCCATTATTAAATCGATATTACACAAAAGGCCATGCATTATTATAATTGTTGCACTTCAATTATCTCTAGTCGTGATGGCGTCACATCGTGTAATTGCAGTAACTGACACGTTATGTGTTGAATAAAAAAAATAACAACATATAAATTCCATCACAACTAAATTCTGACTTACCATGCAAAGTGATAGAAATTCACTCAGCTTTTCTACCGTTTAAAAGAATATAGTCTGTTACATGTCACCATACGTTACATCCGCATTAACTTCTTAGGAATGACAACGCTAAGTCCAAAAAAAGCTTTGTTTATCGTTGTTGTTAGATTATGTGCACAATATTTATGTTGTGAAATTCATTATTGTGAGTTCTTTTAAACCTTTCCATTTTTATGCATACAATAAACACACTCTTCACTAAAAATGCATTGAAAGTAAGGCAGGACATAACAAGGCAGCTTCAAGTGAAACGTGTCCATTCTCCAAGACTTGCAATTTTAAAACATGTATCTGTAAGAGCTTAATAAATTGTTCCCTAACAAAAATATAAATTTATGTCTGTATATCTAAACTGAACAGCCTTTTGTGCTGCTTTTAACTGAGCTTTTCAAAAGTATATGAGGGCCAAAGGCTATGAGCTGCATTTGCTCACTAGCACTACCTGCTGGATACCTCTTGGCAACTTTAAAACAGTTTTCTATACAAAATTAATTATGTAATATATTATTCCTTATGGCTAAGTCAATTTTGAAGAGTTTAGCCATCATTTTTGAGGAATTCTATAGCTGGACGAACCGATCTGTCACATCATATTTAGCTCAAAGATGACAAGGACCATTAAAACTGAAGGCTGTCTCAAATGACAAGGGGTGTAGACTTTTCTACTTTTCTACTGTCTACATCTTTATTTACAGCTTTTTGATAGCACCTTTATTCTGCTAGGTTAAACTGATAGCATAGAAAACTAGTCTGAGTAACAGTTATTCCAGTCATTACACTCTCATTTTAAACTTCTATTAAATACAAACACATTAACCTGCCAGATTATAGTAAGCACACAATGGAAAAATAAATATCATTCAGTTGGTACTGTGGTATCTGACATAATTTGGTAGACTGTATTCTGAACCTGATTTTTCTCTGCTAGGTTACATTCTTCATTAGGGTGGTCCCATTGATCAGATGAATCCAACACCATAAAAATAACCATTTTCAAACAGCTTTTCACTATGAGGTGAGGAATTTGCTGCCATACAGCAATGAAATGTCATTCTGTAAATCTGACCTTCTGTCCCACATTTTTGAATGGTCACCTGTCACTCACCTATGGCCTATATTAAACATTGCACTTATTGTTTTACTTTCTTACCATAATTTGGCTCCCACCCAAATCAATAGTCAGACCAGCTAAACCACAGTGTTGGCAGCTAAAGCTAGTGGGAGTTCCCCAAGGATAGAGAGAGAGAGAGAGAGATAGAGAGAGAGATTGTCTCAGTTGACAGATACCCTCGGCTAGCACATGCACTTCCCACACATAGAACACTATAGATATTATTTAGCTATGGAAATGAAATAAATTGTCATATTATCAGTATATCCCAAAGCATAAAGAGACCATATTATAATTTATTTTCAGTACATTACTTTAAGTATTAGCATGTAGACACTGCTCATTTGTAGCATCTATGAGGAGCTGTTACATAAGCTGCTTTTCAAAAGTGCTTTCACATCTTGTGCTATTTACTTTTTTAGTATTTTGATTCAGAGACAGAGATCTGATAGCAGGAAATGGAATTTGGAAAACTGTCAGTTCAATGTAAAAAGTGCAATCTGAGGACAACTTTCATCATAGCCAGCTTCTCTTTGCCTACATGCCTCGATTAAACACATTAGCTGCCTGTCTGGTTCCGTCCTCTAAAGAAATCTTCCCTCTTCTCTCCCCCTCACGTTGTCATTCATTCGTTATTATTATCTTCACATGCAACAACCCTTTGAAGTGACTCCACATGAATATACAGCTGTTAACTAATTGCACTCATGAATTTAGCCTTTAATGTTCGTAATTCCATGTTTGTTTTGAGATTTTTCTCATGAGTGTCTCTTGATTGAAGAAATTCTGTAAACTTCTTAGAATGAGTGCTAACGTGGCATGCCTGGGCACATTACACAGGATAGATCTGTGGGTGCTGTGGGCTAGAGCCCTAATGCTTGCCAATTGTAAGCCTTCCATCAACCAGAAAACAGGAAAGTGTTACAGTAGCACAAACAAAGGCTAATTCACACACAAACCACATGGCGAGCAAGGGTTGGTGGGTATGCAAGCTATAGGTTTCCTTGTGGCTGTTGCTCAGTCAAGCAATGTTGTTTTAACTGCCTGATTTACTAATGCATTAAGCATGAATAACGTTTTTGCCTTGTGCAATGCCAGTAACAGACCCACTGATTGGCCACCATATTAGCAACGCCCAGAGTACACGTGTGTGCCATTGGTTTTGACCAATTTAATTTGGATGAGTCATACTTGACGATCCACTGTGCATTCAGGAGAAATCAGACAGGGAGAACGAGAGTTTATGTTAGTCATGCTCTCCAAATCCCTTGGGGGCAGTCTCATAGCCTTGAGCAGACTTCATGCCTACAATTACACCCCGAAAAGGATGGTTCAAATTGCAGCAGGTTGCTCCGGCGGCATCATTATATATATCTTTCATATTCTAAGGCAATTTGTCTGGGTGATACGCATCCCATCAAAAATGTTAGCTTAAGCATAGCCTGAAACTGAACTGTCACACTTAAATCACTCATTTTGGTGGTAAAGTGGTCAGATTTTCACAGATAAGACCAACTGCTATCTCTTGTTAAAATGAAGTCCCTGTGGTTTACTATAAATCATTGCTTTCCTTGCCACAAATTCAAATATAAGCATTAAAGTCAAACACTGTCATTACAACTGGCTATGACATCAGTAAGAAATAAATATTTTCCCACACTCCTTTGGTAACAGACGTCAGCTAAGATAAGCACAAGCATAACCCAAACACACGCTACATTATATAACAAACGTTTATTTAAAGGTCATATATTTTCTGATATTTACAATATTTACATATTGCACTCTAGCTGGGGTGTTTATACGTTCAACAATCGCTTGAATATATAAATACATTATATACTATGTGACATTCATTTTCAGAAGAATGCTGATTTTTTTTTTGTCTTTCATGGAATAAACTGCGCCCAGCACTGTTCGTCACTAATCTCCGCCAAAAGAAATGTCTTGAAAAAAAAAGGCAAGAATTCACCATGCAGTTCGGAACTCAATCACTGGATTGAGGGTTTGTTCTGAGGAGTGTAAATGAGGTTGTCAAGAGTATTCGACCAGAAGCTGTACTCAGCAAATAATGGTTATTACCGAGCTAAATGACCAAGACTAATGGAAACACAATCCGTGAAGGCATATCAACAGACATAAAAGCATTTGCAGTAGACTGTGTTGTCCACAGTCTTTTGGCAGCAGGATATTTTTCTTTTGCTTCTCTGTAAAACATCATCTTCACTTGCACCATAAGAGTTATCAGAAAGTTCAGTGATAACATTAATTTCACCAGTCAAGAAGACTGGCCTGATACTGTATGTAGTAATCTATGGATGAGTTCCATTTCATTTGAAAAAAAAAATGATGACAAATACGGATTTTCTGAGTTCATCTGATTTCCCTGTTCTTCTCCAAGGCACTTTTTTTTCTTGGTTCTCTTTATTTCTTCAGGTCTGTTGAACTCTGCGAAAGGGAGAGGACAGCTGACATTTAGTAAACTTTGGCTGCAGAAGGAATTCCTTCCTCATTAAAATAGTACAAAAACAGTAAAAGTGTCAGTAACCTGTCTCAAACACTTTATGATGGACTCATTTGATGTAATGTGTATTACCAGTTTAGATTCACACATAACAACACAACAGCAAATTATTTCTTACTGGCATTAATTACCACAGTGTGGCACAAATATATTAGTTACACAATCTGTTATATCCATATTTCATATTGCATAATCATATAATCATATTTAGTTTTGTGATGTTTTATGGAGTATGATGTCTTTTATAAGCATGATTATGTCTGTGCCACATGTAAATCGCCCAGTGTATTAAGCGCATAGCAATTCAAAGAACTTATCCTTTTAAATCCTAAAAAATGAAAATAGCCACACACTTCAGTCCCTCATTCTCTTAATTGCATAACTTACATTAGTTTCACCATTGTTACTGAATAATAAGTCTAAAGATTAATGGCTGAAAAATAAGCCAACCATTCAAAGGGTTAAACTGCACAATATACACAAAGCCTCATTTTTTCAGTGTTACAATAAGAGGCAAAACTGGCATCCCTTATGCTCAAGGTCACTATTTAATCACAGCTATCGCCATTTAAAACTTCTGGAGGGCACACTCTCTTTATTATATGTGTACATTTTGCAACAGAACTTTGACCTGCAACTCAAGTCCCGACTTTTGCAGTTTTATCACTTTACTCCACTTCACGCTCCATTTCTACATGCATGTGACTGGAGAGCTACATTTATGAACTGTTTTGAGAACACAGCATCTAATGAGCGGCCTTCAGATAAGTCGTGAGCATGATGAGACACTGAATGTACATTTGAAATGACAAATTTTTTCCTCAACGCATACATTACAGCCAACATGACACAATGAAGAACAAGTATAACATCATTACACTGTATGCTTTCAGTTAACAATTTACCTGTAAGGTCTATCCCTCTGAGCACCGCTGACTGCCCGCTAACCTTGTGAGTAACCGAGCACATCTTTTATAATCTGAAACATGGAAAAATTGTACATAAGCAAACAAATACATTTAGCAGAACTTCAAAGCACAAAATTGAAAATAATTAAAATGAAAACAACATAGTTACACACACTTCTACTGCACAGACCTTATGTAAATGTGTGTCATGATATGTAGGGCGGTGGCACTTACAGGCTGGTATCGTGCAGTCCCTGGTATTATGATATAGTCTATAAAAGTGTTTGCTGCATTTGGGGCTAAAATAGAGAGGCCCTGAAAAATAGAAACAAATTCCAACTGGTGTTGATACATAGACGCCAAAAGGCATGATCAAGTGCACACAACACTACATAGCACAGCGCCGCACACCGTAAAGCTACTGCACAATGCTCACCTGTTAAATGTTTCAGGAACTTTTCCTTTTGCCGCAGATCTCTGGGAAAGACCTCTGTTGTAAATGAAAAAGTCGATATCAGTTAGTCATTGTTATTACTTGATGTATGAGAATGCTGAGCCAAATCAGTAGCTAAACTAGACATGATAGGATTATTAAGTCATCTACGATACGAATATTTGTTCTGTCTACACTATCCACAGTAACGACAGATCCAGAGAAACTTCCCACGACATCTGAAGCCAGTTGTGCAATGCACTGAATTTACTTGATTCAAACGTCACATTTCCACATTAATAAAACACATCAGCACAATGAGTTCCAGAAGTAAACTGAAAGACATAACTATACAGTGGAAATCGAGTACATTCACTTTTTAGTGTACCAAACGTACCATACAAACAGAAACAAAATGCTGGAAGGCTACCTACCCAGTATTTGATCGTGCTGATAAGACTTGTTCACTTCGTTCAATTCCCCCGTCTCTATGGAATAGTTTCTTTTGGGGGGATGCTGACCGCTGGCCTGGCTCTGGTCTGCGTGCTGTCGCTGTGCTGCTCTGCCAGTGTCCATCAGCAGTTCCAGGAGACTACTGCCCTCCCTGCTGCCTTTCCTGCACGAGCCAGCAGTCAGGATGACCAGTAGGAGTCCCACGCAGACTGGGGAGCGCAGTGCCCTCATGATGATAGGGTGGGCGAAGGCGAGACCCCCTCACTGCCCTCTAGCCCTGAAAAAACAACAGGAGTTCCAGGCCAGACACTTACACAGTGTTTAGCGTTTCAGCTCAGAGCAGCTAAAGCGCAGCCACGTCTATATGACCTCTGACAAGTACTCGGGGTTTTTTTTTCTTTTCTTTTTCTTTTGCAGTGGCACGATATAGCAAAAGGAATGAGAGACATTTAAGTTACGCCCTGGCTATGGCTCTTTTTCCTACTCTCTGCCTGGCATGAAGCTGTGACATGCAAAAAATGGCTGGACAAAGTAGAAAGAACAAGAAAGCAGCATTTTACCAATATAAAAAGTAAACGTCTACACGTGAATGCCCTTTAGGCACTGACCCACGTGTAGCATAGGTTACATGTTGCTGGAATAAACGTAGAACTAACAACAACAACAACAACTTATAAACTAGCTATAACAGAGCCCCTCTAACGAAAACCATATATGAACCATTCCACCCTTTTAAGGATTAACAGTGATTGTTTACTATTTTCTAAGCCAAACTATGCTTTATTTACGTTTTAGTGACACTTTATTTTAAATACACTGCATCAAAAGAACGCCACACCATGCTTATATGGTTTTACAAACATGTAACATAGATGTATAGGCAAGGTCTCAATAGCAACAGCGGTGCGAAAATGTCCCAACAAGAACTCTGCGCGCCTTTGCGCACTTTACGCACCAGCCCTCCAGCGCAAAGAAAAGCTCGCAATTGTGGCGAAAGGAGCCAAATTACCTGGTTTTGTCCTCAGCACCCGTCTGTCCCGGCTCTTGCCTGGCCTCCCTGGTGCCTTCACTGAATCTAACACTAACGCAGCGCAGACTAGAAGACACTTCGCCCCCCCAGGTAGGGCTGCAGCACTGTCCCCCAGCTCTAGTGCACCATGCCGGCAGCAGTCTCTCTTTTATATGTTTAAACACGGCTCTGGGTCATCTGTCGATTGAGTTGAGTGGGTAGTGGGTGGAAAATAATGAGAGCCCGCTTGCTACACTTTTTCTTTTTTTTTTCTTCCCTGTCTGTCTGACTCTCTCTCTCTCTCTCTCTCTCTCTCTCTCTCTCTCTCTCTCTCTCTCTCTCTCTCACTCACTCACTCTCTCTCCGCGTCTCTTGCTGAAGTTTTCTACCCCCCACCCACTCATCCGGCATGGGTTCCCTCACTTTTTATCCCCCGTCGCAGACGTAAGGACTTGTCCCATGTGAATTGTTCCATGTGGATGTCGTTCATAAGAGCTCTCCTTAAGAAACGCATTGTATTGTTGTGTGTAGCCCTCTCCGCCTTCAGCGTCTCTTAACGCAGAGAGGGATTCCTCCGTTTCTCCACATGTGCTCCAGGTAAAGTAGTTCTTTTTCCTCCTCCACTCGCTGCTCGCGGCTTTTCTCACTTCTCACGCGGGAATCACTGTGTATCCCTCCACAAACAGAAGCTGCGCCGCTCCACCAGTCGTTTATCTCGCTCTCTCTCTTTTCTTTTTATGTGAATTTTCCTACAGTCGATTCGTATTTCACTTACATTTCGGCGCAATTACTGGAAAGCCCGAGGAGCAGATATGATTAGACGCGATTAGGGTTAAGTAGCCGCATGGCTCTGTGGAGAAGTGCAGCACGAAGGCAGTCAGTCTCTCCTCAGCTGAGCTTCAGCAAGTGTACACTGTGCAGGCCCTGCTCCAACACTGCTTTCGTTTACTCAAGCCCAACTTCACCACTCCCTTTGCGTACAGAAAAAAAGTTAATCACTCATATTTCACTCCCTCCTCTTTTTTTTTAGTTGAACTTTAAAGTTCTTGGCGAGAGGGGCAACCACTATTGCCTTTGCTCATGATAATCAGGATTATAAAGCTTTACAAGTATTATTAAACATGGTGGAGTGGTAGATTTAGCAGGGACAACACAGCACGCCGGCTCTTCAGATACACAAGTGGCTCAACAGTGCCACACAGTGAGTCTATATATAACCTTAATGAATTATAAGTTCAACTTGAATCTTGCTGTAGGATGATATGGATCTATTTGGCATAGATAAACTCACTCCTTTCCTTTATCACTTCCCATTCCAACAATAAAGACTTTTTATGCCCCACCATGAATTTAATCCACCATAATGTATCAGCAGATTATTAAAAATGTGTCTAAAAACATTTAGATGTCCTTTAAAGGGGAATTCCACCAATTCTCAAAAATGCAGAATTCAATAGTTAAGATGTAAAGTCAAGAGAGAACACCAATATAGCCACTTTATTAACTAGCCAGAACAACCAGTTAACCCACATGTGTCTTCTGAGGTTTCATGTGAGTTGCTGATAATGATAAAATAGTGACAAATCCTAAAAAAAAGATATTTTGGGGTTATTTCGCCTTACAACACCCTGCACTGCCTGTACCTCTCCACCATGAATGGATTAAAAAACTTTTTGATCTAAATGTAAAGCAATTTCTGTGAGGTAGAGAGGCTTTAAACATCTCAGACATTTGGAATTCCCATCACTGTGGGAAGTTTCTCTAGAATGGAGCTTTCACATCAAACCACTCTGAATGACTTGCTTACATCTTAACCATTGAATTATGCAGAAATTTTGGAAATTGGTGGAATTCCCCTTTAATGGTGAAAACATTCATTTACATTGTTAAATTGCTTTAAATAGCATTAATTATGCACTTATATCAAACAATGTGTGTGCAAGACTGTTTCCGAAATGTAACTAAAAAACGTAACAGGGCTGCACACGTTGTTCGACATAACTTAAGTGTATAATTATTATTACTTAAAGCTATGAATGCAAAGTAATGTTCCCACCATTAAATGACCGATATATCAACCAAACCATGCAAAAATTAAGGTTAAACATAACTTTAATTTTAACAACAAGTACATATTTCTAACATACTGTGCATTTATTGTTTGCAAAATTCTGGACAAAATTTTGGACTATACTAGTTGAATGTCTAACTATAGGATAGGCGTGCAATTTTGACTAGACTCCTACTGAACTGGAGGCCCATTACAATAAATAACTGTGGAATTTGACGCAGGGTAAATATGTTGTCACTGTCGGAACAAAACCTCATATCTCCAAAATGATATCTTTACTGGAGAAGGAAAAAAAGATTCTTAACTTGTAATTGAAGCCAATGTAAAAATATTTTTTTCCAAATAATTTTGGATCATCCTGCCTTTCGCCCAATGACAGCTGGCTCCAGCACTCCACCGCGACCCAGAAGGATAAGCGGTTTAGATGATGTATGTATGTATGTATGTATGTAATTTTGAATCATTTCTTTTGTTCCATTGATCATGAACTTTTAAGTTTCCAAATGATGCCAAAAACTTTTTAAAAGACCAAAATGTACATACAATAGCGACAATACTCTACCCTCCCTAACACCCCCCCTTCCCAGCCTCTATCACTTTCTCACTTTTTGTTCCCCCACCCTACTGAATGTAGCAATACAATTAGTCTTTCTTGTGAATGAAACCTTCCTGCCTCCCCTATTTTATCACCTGTGCCACAATAGGGGTGATGCTTCACAGGATAGAGTTCTTCAAAGCTGCCCTCTATAATCGAAAAGATTTAATAAGTCTGACGTGATAAACCACAGGAGCAAGCACACTTAAGATAACAAGCACAAGTAATGGCAGGTAGTGAATGTGTATATAAAGCTTTAGCCATCTTTTGTGTTGCTCACTGCATTTTTTTGTTCTGCTCAACATTGCTTGAATGGTTTCTCATAGCTGTTTGCACAATTCAGGGCATATGGCACAAATCATCTTTCAGTCACAAGATTTAGTTCATACTGAAGTTATTCATGTATCTATGACTGCTTGTGTTTATACAAGCCTTCACTGCATACTGTAGTTATTCATGTGTTTATGACTGCATTCCATAAAATTTGATCCCTTGTTAAAAACTCGACTGACAAATGAATATCTTTTTGTATTTTTATCTTTTATCTTTTAAACTATTTGAAAACATCAGCTGTTCTTTACGTTGTGTTAATTTTGGAGAACAAGGTTTCATTACGAAGGTGATTTGATCCATAAATGCCTCTTTGCATGGTTAAATGATTCTTGACCATGATGGAAAACTTGTTGTGTATGGTTCTTTAAGGAATAAATCCCAAAAAGGGTTCTACTAGTTTCATGACTTACAAGTCATGGAACATTTTTTCGGTACTATATAGAATAATTTTTACTAGGAGTGTATCTAATTATAGTAATTACAGTTATTTATTTATTTAGTCAGTTATAAAGTAAGTTATTTAGTAAATTATTCAGAATTCTATGAGTTTTATGAGAAAAATCTCCTGTACATGGTCCTTGCTATAGGTAGCCTATTCTGATACAGATTACCCAGGCCTTTTACCTTCAGGAAAGCACTGTCACTAGTTCCAAAATAACTTACCTGTAACATGATGTCATTCCGTAGTATGCGCCAGGACAGTGTGCATTCATGTCGCCTCCTATGGGTGGTTAAAAGAGATTTCCCTGGGACCGACTGCAGTGTTTTTTATTTCCTTATGTAAGATCCCCTCATGTAATGAAGCCACACATTAGGTACATTAGGACTGAGCTGGATAATTAAAGGTGTTGTCATGGCAGTATCTTGCTTCCTCTGTTTCTAATGTCTCAAATACTGACAAAGAGAGCCATAACCAGCGCTTTTTACTTACATTCCAGCATTACACCTTCTGTTCAGTAGTTCAGGAGTACATATGAATATATTTTTCATCCTGAAAAACTTGCAAATCGTCTGCTCAACAGGGTTCCAAGTGAGCATAACAGTTAGTGACTTGAGGTGTAACTGGGGACAGTGCTTGAAGTGTCCGGGGAGTTTGACGCAGCACAGACCGCCACAGTAAGCCCCCCACGTGTGGCCTTTATCCCTTCCCTCCTCCTCATGATTTTGTCTGCCAGCCAAACTGCTGAGTGCCTCCCTGTCCTCATCATGATGCCCTGTTCTCCAGTACCTGCTCTGCAACCAGTCCATGCTAGCTTCATATCAACATTAGCTAAATAGTTAGCATTCATGCTAGTTCTGCACCCATTTTAACTTTGCAACAAACATGCATGGTGCAGTCCAAGCCAGAGCCTTCAGGTGGAGGCTGATCCCAAAATCCACTGATCGTCTTTTAGTCATTAACTCATTAATCTTAGCTCGTGCCAGTTCCCTGTCCACAGCTTTAATCCGATCTGACCTCCTTGCTATAGCTGACACCATTGACAATTTTGACAGCTGTTTTTCATAACTTTGTCTTATCAGATATGCATATTCATCAATGTGTCAGTCGGCACCATATGTTTAGTGTTGGGTAAGCAGAGCCATCGGGCCTTAAATGGACATACCTGTAGATTCCAGTTTTTCCAGACCTTTTTGAGGTTTGTTTGTGCTGGAACGTTACCTTGGAGCCTCTTCGCACCAGGCAAGACTGCTGAGTCAGAGAGTTTATCTTCATGATTGTGATGTCTCTGCAGTCATTGGTTGCTCTAGACTACCACCTGTAGACCTGACCATCACCTCTGAAACTGGAGAATGAAGAAAGTGTAGGTTTAGTTTGCTATACTATAAGGTAAATGGGTATCGACTAGCTTCTGTAATCAAATATATATTTTAATACATATTTAGAAGATACATCTAGGAATATATTACTTTGCCTTTTGTGTCTCTGTGGAGCCTGTGGTGTGTTTGGGCGATGTTTCTTCTGTTCCTGGACATCATGACGATCATTGATTGTTCCTTGAGAAGGTTGTTGTAATCGTGATAAGGACTTGCTTATGCCAGTCTCCAAACTGTCATACCAGGCATTGCGGCATGGCGTATGATTATGGAACTGGAATTGGATACTTCCATCATTGTGGACCTAATAGTGATGTTTGTGAACCAGTCCAAGTCTCTGTTCCTATGTAACAATGAATCAGCGATTGTATATATTGTTTGTCTGTCTTGTCCAAGTCTGTACTAGGTTGGGAAGATATATGAGGGTTTTTATCTATTCTCTTATTTATTTCCTTTATGTTCCTACAACTCTGAAATATATCTTTCTATTAAATGTCACCATCGCTCTATTTAAATTCCAATTTATGGTCTGTCACAGAAATTATGAATGGGTGTTATATGTTCATATGTTTCAAATTTTTAGTCTTAAGTCTATCTGTTGTAAAAAGTCAGCTGGTGACTTAAACATGAATTTTTTGCTCAAATTGCACATAAAATACATTACAAGGACATAAAGCACAGACCTAATATCTTTTCAGCTAATTTTAAATCAAGCTTGATACTTATGTAATGATTACACATAGCCCATCAATGTGGGAGCATGGTAGAATGCCAGTAAATACA